GCTTGCACCACTGTACCAAGTCTAGTAAACACCAGAGAGTGGCCCTTAATCCTGTCTGCTAACATACATGTTTCTATCTCCTGCTTTCAAGTCCCAGTACCTCAAAAAAAAAAAAAAAAAAAAAAAGAATGTGAGATAATTGCCAGTAAGGTTGCCTTGTTTTCCTTTCTGAGACCCTTACTTCAGCCTTGAGTTAGGGCCTTGAGGAAGGATTGGCAGTGACTTAATGAAGTAAGTCCATGCTGCTGGACAGATCCACCAGAACAGATCAGATAACTTGTTTTTGTTGCCCTTTTTTAAAATAGCAAAATAATAGTTTGTTAGTGAAGTAAAATACTTCACAAAGTCAACAGAAAATGTAAAATATTTCCAATTAATATATTCATAAATGAAATTTATAAATTATTTGTCACCTTAATTTAGTCTGAGAGGTTTTTGTGGGGTTTTTTGGTGGGAAACTAGGGATCAAACCCAAGGGTGCTCTACCACCAATCTACATCTCCAGGCCTTTGTACTTTTTATTTTGAGACAGGGTCTTGCTAAGTTGCCAAGACCTCAAACTTGTGATCCTCCTACTTCAGCCTCCTGAGTCACTGGGATTACTGGTGTGTTGTAGGGGACAGATGAGGCAGGGCACCGAAGATAGCAGGAAGCAGTTTTATTTGGCTGCAGCCATGTTCAGAAGACACAGCTTTCGCTGTAATCAATAAATCCTCTGAACCGGGAGTTCAGGTAGTTTCAGAACTTTATACCCAGCATGTAAGGGAAAGGGCTCAGAAGTTCATATAAAAGTAGCTTTTTCTTTCACTCTTCTGGGCAAGTTAACCCTTCAAGGACAGCACCTGAGAAGGGAGAGCTTCTTCACTTTCTTTCTTTCCTCCCTCTGCCAGCTGTTACCATGGAGCCCAGTTGGTAACTTCTTTTATTTTAGAAAGTAGACATCTCTGTGAAGCTCCAGCTCAAGGCCAGAGGCCGTGTTAAAGGACCTGTCTTTTTTATAACATTTTGCATTTGCAAACACACTTCTACAAACTACTATACTGGATAAATGCTTGTGAAAAACTAGTAAAGGGGAATTCAGCACCTGGAGTGCTGATTTCTTCCAGGCCAGCCACCAAGTAAAACAGAGCAACAGGAAAATAGGAAGTTTACCTACATTGAACTCTTTTGTAGAGACTCTTTTGCTGATAGTCCTAAAATCAATTATGGTGAAGATTTCTGGAGAAGCTTAGTTAAGATTTTCTGTGGAGAAGGAGGTGCCACTACAGGTGTGCACCACGACAGCTGGCTAATCTAAGAGGTTTAAATCTCAGGTCCCTGGCAGAATTTCAGAAAACTTTCCTGGATAAACTCTTCCTTACCTTAAGTGAGTCCTTTGGATCTCTTCTTAGTGCACTCACCAGTCCACAGCTTTATCCACAGACACTGTTTTCTAACCTTTATAGATGGATCCTCCTCTTTCTCTTACAAAATACAAAAACATTGCTAGTTTCTTTGAAAGATTGCTCAYTTATTTTCTTTCTTTCTTATTGCATGTAATAAGACAGTGAAGTTTAAATACAATTTAATTTCACGTTAGTTTCTTTCTTTTTTATTAATTTTTTTAGTTGTAGATGGACACAATATCTTTATTTATTGATTGGTGCTGAGTATCAAACCCAGGGTCTTACACCTGCGAGGCAAGCACTTTGTCCACTGAGCTACAGCCCCAGTCCCTAATTTCACCTTAGTTTCTGAAGTTGACCTTCTTTTTTAAAAAAATTTATTTATTTATTTGTAGTTGTAGATGGACAGAATGCCTTTATTTTATTTGCTTATTTTTATGTGGTGCTAAGGATCAAACCCAGTGCCTCACGCATGCTAGGCAATTTCTCTGCCGATGAGCCACAACCCCAGCACCTGAAGTTGACCTTCTTTATCCATTATTTATTTGTTTTCCTAAATGTTAACCTGGGGTCTCCCATTTTGCTTTCTTTTCCTTCTTCCTTGTGGAGTGCTGTTTCTAATGGCTAGAGAGCTCAAGGGCTGGGGCTGCAGCCTTTCTGAAATCAGAATGACCACCAGCACCCTGCCTGATCAGCTGGTCTGCTGCTCTTCCACAGCATTCCTGGCTTTCAGACACATCGATCTTAATCTTCTCAAACTCAGAGACGCACAGTGTCAACAGTTACAGCAGCCACAGTCCATTATCTACTCAGGGTGCAATTACTTGGCAGCCACCTAGACTGTGAGGGTTTTGTGGGCCCCCAAAGAATTCATATCCTGAAGAGAGACACTAATCAAGGCAGGTTCTCTTGGCAGGGACATTAAAAGGGTGGATTACAAATGATAGGAGTTTTAATTTGTGAGGACTTAATCTGATCTGCTTTGGAACAAGATAGTGTAGATATATACTTATTGTCCATTTTCTCTGAGTATTCTTGAAGATTCATTTGATCTTATGATGATATTATTGTTATAAAGACACAGAACTTTATTACATGAATCTGCCTGTCCCTTACCTTTCTCACTGCCCAGAGCTACTCTAAAATGTGTTTAGCCTGCAGTGCCATAAGAGGAGGGATGGCCGATGTGTCAGATGGTATGGTGTGGTATTGCACATTCTGGTCTCTTGCTCACTCAGAGCCCCTTTTGAGAAGGGAGATGCTGAGTCTCTGAGGAAGCATGCACTTAGGATGCGACAAAAAGTCAGATTGGCCCTTCATCTGACAAAGTGTTGGTTGCTAGAACTGCTTGGCACCGATAGAGGTGATGTTAAGATTCTGACTGACTGATACCAGCAATGCCAGGGACTTTGGGTATATAATCAGGACAAATGACAAGCATTTCTCTCAGACTTCCTGTCTTACCTGTTGAGAGAAAGAGCACTACATAAGGAGGCTGCTCAGCCGGAATAAGGATGTATTCCCTAAGACTTGGTCAGAGCCCTTGAGCAGTTTTTCTTTTTCTTTTCTTTTTTTTTTTTTTTTGGTTCTGGGGATTGAACTCAGGGGCACTCAACTTGAGTCACATCCCCAGCCCTATTTTGTATTTCACTTAGAGACAGGATCTCACTGAGTTGCTTAGGGCCTCGCTTTTGCTGAGGCTAGCTTTGAATTCATGAGCCTCCCTCCTGCCTCCCAAGGCGCTGGGATTACAGGTTGCAACACCCTGCCCAGCTCTTTCTCTTTTCTTTATTGAGGTGCTTGGAATGGAAACCCAAGGCCTCACACTAGCTAGGCCAAGTGCTTTGCCACTGAGCTGTGTCTCAACCCCCTGGTCCCTTGAGCACTTCTTTGGGGMATTTTCTCTTAAGGGTGAATACATGTGCTAGTCAGGATGAGCTGACTTTGACTTGTGTCAGAGGTTTTTAATTTAAAAAAAAAAMAAAACTGAACTGGGAAATGGACCTAGATGACCTTACCAGATTTAAGAGCAACAGTTCCCAAAAGTATATGTTTTTGTTCAGGGAATGTGATTTTTTTCTAAAAATTATTTATATTAATAGTTTAAAATTATTTTTAAAACTGAATTAATTTTTTTACTCTTCTAATTTCTGACGTGATAAATATCAATAGAAACAACTCACATAAGTAAGTTTTGGGGGTTCTTAATTTTTTTTTCAATATTTATTTTTTAGGTGTAGATGGACACAACATAATACCTTTATTTTTATGTGGTGCTGAGGATCGAACCGGGTCCTGCCCTTGCTAGGCGAGCGCTCTACTGCTGAGCCACAATCCCAGCCCTGGAGTCCTTAATTTTAAGAGTATAAAGGGGTCTGAGGCCAAGAAGTTTGAGAATTGCTACACTTCTCCTGGGAGAGACATTCGTGTGTTTTCTCTTGGTCCCATGTAGTAGGAAATGAATAGCACAGACCCAGGATTATACAAACACTTTAGAGAAGTAAAAATGGTTCTAATGGCTCTAAAGTGTCTACTATAGAGAGGTGCCAGATATAGGATGATCGTGGTGGTGGTGGTGGTGGTGGTGACAACAGTGATGATTTCTAGCTCTTGTGAGTCCTTTGATGTGTGTGTACTTGCTTCTGCCGAAGTACATATTTGGGGGGGCTCTGTAATTCCCTCCCTGGCCCAGTAGCCCTGTCTTGTTTTCAATATATATACTTTATTCTCACATTAATTTTGCTCTTCACGTTAGCAGTGGTGTAGGCAAAGCATTTTTCTGATGCAAGTTTGTTGGAAGTATGTTCTGGGAAGACTTTGTGTTGTCCTAGTGCAGCCTGAGATACAGGTTAATCTTCCTAATGGGAAGAGGCAAGTTACTAGGACAGGTACCTGATGATAGCACTTTCTCTCAGGTGAGTTCTCAACTTGGGTGGTTAGTACAGGAACCTCTSTAAAGTGCTGCCCCTGGGAGAGATTCATAAATCCTAGGCCCTTACTCAGGAGGGCAGGATCAACAGCTGTCCTGAGTCTTTGAGCACTGCCTGGTTCTCACAACAGATTTCTTCCCACAAAAGCAAGGACTGGTGATCACTTGACCMACACCCTATCATCTGCAAAAGAATGGCTGCCTGGGGAAGGTGGCCCATCAGGGTGCCAGGAGTAGCTTATTTGGCTGCTCTAGGAGTGTGTGATCAGAGCACAACCAGTGATGCTGAGAGGGCAGGCAGGAACCGAGGTGCTGCCTCCTGTGTGAACAAGATGCTTTTCCACCTCCCTCCCAGCCTTCAGGACAGCAGCTCACCATCAGCAAGGCAGCTGAGCAGTGAGTGTCATAGCCCAAGGTTCAAGGCCCCTACCTCACCTGTGTGACCTGGGCACATGATTGAGTTCCCCTGAGCCTCCGTTTCTAATTAGTAAACAGCCATGGCTATTATGTGTGCTTCACAAATTGCTAATGAGATTTAGATGGTGCCGAGAAGCTTTTGAATAAAGATTGCAGATGGGAAAGCTGAAAAACATATAGTATTTTGGAAGAGGTGTCTTTGTGGTACCAAAGTGTTTCTGCTCTTTGTCCCACTCTCTGGACTCATGAGCTTCTGTTCTCTTCTCCAGGTTACCTGTGCATGACCGATGAGTGGTTCTCTGAGTATGTCTATGAGGTGGTGGTGGACAGGAAGCACGTCCCTGAAGAGGTGCTGGCTGTGCTAGAGCAGGAGCCCATCATCCTGCCGGCGTGGGACCCCATGGGGGCCTTGGCTGAGTGATACTGCCTTGTTTTTTTCCTCCTCCCTTGGGACCTGCAGTAGCTGCAAAGGACAGATCCAGGGACTGAAGCCAAAGTTACACAGGTGACTGTGTATTCCCACAGGAYACAGACTCTTGGATTTCCAGTCTCCTCCAGGAACCTCTTCGGGAAGTGTGCTTTATGCTGAAACAAAATATTCATAAAGAAAAAAAAAAAGGGAAAGATCAGGTCATATTATCTACTCCTCATCTCCAACAGCTCAGGATCTCTTAGCATTTTAATCAGATGTAATTGTCTTAACTCTGTCAAAAAGGTCTTCGGTGGGGCTGGGATGTAGCTCAATGGCAGAGCGCTTGCTCAGCATGAGGCAGGCCCTGGATTCAGTCTCTGGTGCCGGAAGAAGAAAAAAGCCTTCAGTGTCTGTTGTAATAAGACAGGAGATCAGGAGACGATGAGCAAATGAGGTGTACGGAGAGAAAATGGACCTAATGCTCCTTGATTCTAGCGTAGAATGGGGGAGGGTCACCTAAGATTTGAGCTCTCTAAACTGCATGCTGCCTCACAGATCGCTGTCCTTCTAGATGGCAGTCACTGAATTCAGTTTCTTCAAGGTGATTTTATGTGCCTCTGATAGCTCAAGAATGGGAGGTTGATCAGGTCCGACATGATTCCTTCCTGTTATTCTGAACTGTGGGGGCGCAGCTCTGCTTGAGTCAGGTTAACCAGAGGCCTGGAGAAAGTGGGTGAGGAACAACCCGTACCTATCATGATCTCAGCTCCCATCATTAGGGGGAGCTCCAGCCAAATGGTTTAGCCTCTGCCTCTGAGTTGGGGGTTGGGTGGGCAGGAAAAGGTGATATTCATTCTTTCTGACAACTAGATGGTGCTGAGAAGCTTTTGAATAAAACACTTTGCTAAATGAGAATAAGTTGGCTTTTTTGATCTAAGAAGTGTTTACTTAGCTACAGTGATAGCAACCAGGTGGCTTATGTTCCTCAAAGTGAAAAAACAGCAGGAGTGCTCAGTGCTTTCCTACTTTAGCTCTTCTACAGGATATTTGATCCTTCCCAGCCTTACTGGCTTCTACAAAGGGCTTCCCCTTTTTCCAGATCTGGGGTCCCTACAAGGGGGTGCAGTGAGGCTCTGTTGAGCCCAGCCTTAGAGTAGGCTAGAGGGCCACTAGCTTCCACTTCTCTTAAGCAAATGAGCAGAGCCCTCAGGTCAGGACTTCCATCAGTACTTGAGCCTCCTACTATTCTGGCTTCCCAAGAATCTTCCCACCCCAGCAAAGGATATTGTTTGTCATAGCACTTTCCAAGATAAAATTAGATAAAAGCTCAAGGATGGTTTTAGAAAAAAAAAAATCTTGAGTTTGCCCCTTCAAAAGGGAAATGAWCTAATGTGGAAAGTTGGAAATGCATCAAAGAAGGGATGTGGCTCAGTGGTAGAGCCCTGGAATGCACAAGGCAGTGAGTTCAAGCCCTAGTATGGGAGTGGGAGGTGGGGTAAAAGCCACATAAGACTCAGGAGGCTGAAGCAGGAAGTTTGCAAGTTTGATGCCAGCCTCAACAATTTCACAAGACCCTGTCTCAAAATGTAACAGACTGGGGATGTAGCTCAGTAGAGCACCCCTGGGTTCAGTCCCCAATACCACAAAAATATTCATCAAAGAACGTAAAACAAAGAAAGTGATAAATGTATGGATCGACAAAAAGTGACTGTTAGATAAGTCTTATGGGGTTCAATAAAAGATAAAATTAAAGTAGCAGATAGGGAGTGATAGGCTTAACATTGTAAGGCCCTTATGTAATTCAGGAAAATGAATGTTTATTAACTTTAGACTTCTATATGTTAATGTGCATGCTACAAATGTCTAGATTACTAAGAAGTATGCAGAGAATAACAGCTTCCAAGCAAGAATAGGCAGAATGAAAAAATGTAATCCTTAAGAAGACAGGATAGGGGAAAGAAAAGGCAGGGCAAATAGAATATTCAAAATAAGACAGAAATAGATCGATGCCAACTACAATATGGATAAACAGATTTTTTTAAAAGACAAATAAACTGGACTTTTAAAAGAAATGTAGCCATATGCTAATAACAAGAGACGTAGATAACCTAGGATATAAAAAAAGGATGGGAAAGATCTATCATGCTGGTACTAAAATAAATCTGGTGAAGTGATACTAATAAGCCACAAAATCATTGCCACTCTGAATAACCAAACAGACTATATGACTCCAGGATATGGCACTTACATTAACTGTAATGTGCATGGCCTCCCTGGAGTTGTACGACTCAGTGGTCCTGGAAAGGCTCTGAAACAAAAGCATTACTGGAGAGAGAATCACTACATAATGATAAGTTTACTTGACTCTCCAGGAAAATGTAAAGATTCTAAATCAGTATACCCCTAATAACAGAGTCTCAAATTATATAAAAAAGACTGACAGCTACATGTAAAAATAAGTAATCCAACATCATAATGGGAGATTTTAACTACTTTACAATTTCCAATAGCTCAACCAACCAAACCATCAGATGAGTATGTAATAAARGATTTAAGCATTTAATAAGTTTGACATAATGGACATGTGTAGAACACTACATCTAACAATTGCGAATTCTTTTTGAGCACTTGGGGAACTTTTTGAAAAATTGACCACACACTGGACAGTGAAATCAACCTCAACAAATGTCAAAGGGTCATCATGTGGCTCACACTCCAAACACAGTACCAGTCAGGTGAGAAACCAACATTAAAAACTAGAGTGACTTCTAGCTCCCAGGCCCCTTCTCTTCAGAGAAGTCTGTTACAGGCACTTTTGCAATAAAACTGCTGCTTGCTTGCTAAGAAAGTAGAATAAAAGTTAACTAGAGCCAGGCATGATGGCGCATGCCTGTAAGGCATGAGGCAGGACCATTACAAGTTTGAGACCAGCCTCAGCAATTTAGCAAGGCCATAAGCGACTTAGTGAGACCCTGTCTCAAATTTAAAAACTAAAAAGGGCTGGGGATGTGGCTCAGTCTTTAAGTGCCTTGGGGTTCAGTCCATCCTAGTTTAAATGGACTGACTGGAAGCGAGTCTCTGGGTGTGTGCCCTGGAGGGGTGCATCTGCCCTGCAGGTCTCTCTGGGCTCTGCTTCCTGACACCGTCAGGAGCTGAGCAGCTTTCTTCCACTGCTGCCTCACTTTGGGCCCAGAGTTACTGAGACCTCTGAAACCATGAATCCCAAATAAACTTTTCCTCCTAAGTTATTTTAGTCAGGTTAATGAGTCCCAGCAACAGATAAAATTCCCCTGTATGTTTAGAAATTAACTTACTGTGCTGGGCATGGTGGTGCACACCTCAGAATCCCAGCAAATCAGGAGACTGAGAGAGGAGGATCCCAAGTTTGAAGCTAACTTTGGCATTTTAGTGAGACCCTGTCCCAAAATAAAAAATAAAGACTGGGAGTGATGTTTAGTGGTAAAGCACCTCAATGGATTCAATCCCCAGTATAAAGAAAGGAATTAGAATAGCAAAATAAACCTAAAGAAAGATGTGCAGAAATTAAACCCAGAATCAAGAAAGCCAGAATTTGGTTCTAAAAAACAAAAGCAAATTAACAAATCTTTGGGGGAAAGCAAACACAAGGATTGGAAATGAGGCTATCAGAGATGCTGCAGATACCAGAAAAATAGAAGACAGCTGGGGGTGCAGCTCAGTGGTAGAGCACTTGCCTGGCGTGCTTGAGACCCTGGGGTTGATCCCCAGCACTGGGGGTGGGGGGGTGCAAAAGAAGAAGAAAGGAAGACTCAAACTTTGTCAAAAGTAACAGCAAAGGGAATTTGTTTACAAGACAAATCCACAATCTCATGAAGAACAGGACAGGAGAGCACAAGATTTGAAGGTGAAAAGCAGATGTGGGTGTTGAAAAATTTTACCAGAGCTCAAAAATTGAGTCCTGAGCCAGTGGTGAAGAAAACCAGTGATAAGCTAATTTACATTGCGTAACCCCCCCACCAAAGCTCAGATAGCTTTACCCCTGGAATTGTGAGGCGGAGAGTTACTGAAGGGCTCCATGTCAGATCCCTTCCCACTCCCGGCAGCTGGGTGACCATCTTTTCTCCACTCATCGGAACCTTAAAGATTTCTCTGGGGAGAGAAATACTTTTTGGAGATCAGGAGCAGAGGCAAGGGTGTAAGGACCATGAGGGCATTAAGTGAGCATTTACATCCTGAATGTCTGGCCATTTAGAGCTGCTAGAACTGTAACAGGCAAGAAATTGCAAGTCTCTGAGGAATCTTGATGAGCCCAAGAGGAAAGATGTTTAAAAAAGAAAGAAAGAAAAATAATTTAGTGGCTTATAAGCCTGACATAACCTTGATAAAGATAAGTTAAAAAAAAAAGACTGCATACAAATCTCACCCATAAACATAGGTACAAAAGCCCTAAACGGAATCTAGCAATATATAAAAAGGTCGTTTTTATAACCAAATACTTAATAGAAGTCATCTTACAAACAAATTTGGGATCCAGTAGGGAGAAACAAAGAACAGTGGGAAAGGATTCTTCCTGAAGATAAAGGGAAAGGAGCTGGAGTTTTGCTGGAGAGCTGCCCTGGAAGACCTTACTGATGTGTGGGTGACAGGTGAGGGGAAAGCCTGAACTTGTCTCCCCTACAGCGTCGCCAGTGGGCAGATCACTGACATCCAGAGGTCGGGTCACCTCAGGTCTCCTCTTGAGATGTGGAGAGTCATGCTGACCCTGTGTATCCAGAAGCCAAGACCTGATAATGGGACATGCCTTCAGGATGTGGTTGTGGCCATCTGCTTCCACTGGCCAGTCCTTGATGAGCAGCTTCATTTTAGCTTGCTGTCGCAGCACCGGGGCGGCTGCTCTGGAATCCCATTCCTCCGTGCTGGCCGTGGCGGTGGTYAGTCATTGGTTAAGTCGGATTTTTTTAAGGTAATTCCAGATGAGGCCTCGCATTTAGGACAACTTGTTCAGTACTTCAGTTGCTTCTTATGAAGATGACTCTTCTCCTGGGAGTCTGTGGTTTAGATGGATTGAAACTAGCCATTTTGTGTGTGTGTGTGTGTGTGTGTGTGTGTGTGTGTTTTATTTTGTTTTGTTTTTGCCCTCCCCACCCTGATTTCAAATTCCAAGTCCTCTACACATTACTGAAGGAGGAAAATGGGGAAGGAAGGAATGCTCACTGCCTACCAGCTGCGGTATTTGGGACTAGGGTTGTATGAAGGTGGGCAGCCCTCTGCACTCTTCCTGGTACCCAGTAATGCTCCTTGCTCTTCCTCTTGTTCGCTCCTCTAGGGAACCTGGTTCGGTAGCACAGTTTGATGGGGATGGGGTGGGCTCTGACAGTTGGTTTTTGTTTTTGCAGGATTGGGGATTGAACCTATGGCCTCGCTCATGCTAGAAAAGTGTTTCATCATTGAGCTACATCCCCAGCCTGGTTTTCACTTTTTTAAAATCAGCTGGCAAGCCTGGTGCAATGGTGCATCCCTATAATCCCTGTTATTCCTTGGGCTGAGGCAGGAGGATCAAAAGTTCAAGGCCAGGGCTGGGGCTGGGGCTTAGTGGTAGAGTGCTCACCTAGCATGAATGAGGCACTGAGTTCGAGCCTCAGCATCGCAGAAAAACAAAATAGTGTATCCACCTAAAACTAAAGATACATAAATAAATATTTTTTAAAAAGTTTAGGGCTGGGGCTGGGGCTCAGTGGTAGCGCACTTGCCTGGCGTGTGTGAGGCACTGGGTTTGATTCTCAGCACGGCATATAAGTAAATAAAATAAATGTCTATCAACAACTTAAAAAAATAATTTTTTTTTAAAGTTCAAGGCCAGCCTCAGCAACTTAGCAAGGCGCTAAGCAACTTAGTGAGACCCTGTCTTGAAATAAAAAATAAAAA